CTTCATACACATGGACACTGTGCCCCTGAGCAGCAGAACTCATGGGTTGCTTTTGTGTTGTTTCAAACTTTTGTGTTGTTGCAAACTATCCTGGCCTGTCTCAAATCCCAGCCTGCATCAGGGAAACCTGCTTAAACTGATCCAGGAGAGAAGGAAGCTCATCCTGATCACAGGCTGATGCCTTGTGCAGAATATATTCCCAGAGGAATGCAGAGGCAGATTTTATCAGCACATCATCAGACTCTGCACTGGACAACAAATTCTGCTGCAGACTTTACAAGAGAGGAGAAATTGGAGAAGTTTTACATACAGAGTTTGGTCATCTTCCTACTGGAACACTAAAACAGACCAAAGGCATTTCTTTTGCTTTCCTGAACACTTGTGTTTAGAAAAATGAAAGCTGCCTTCATCTGGGTAGAGATGGCTCAAGGAACCCTCAACATAAACATGTTTCTGTGTCTCTTTAGTGCTCCTTGTTTGCTTTTGTATAGCTACCTGTATTGGACTGGCAGAGAAGTGTCAGGGAGTGACAAGTACTGTGTCATGTGTAATAGTGGCTGCTTGATTAGTGTTTTATTTATCATCTGGGGTACTATATTATGTGCAGTAAATTTGCATTTCTTTGCTTATTATCTCATGGGCTTAACTGGATAAAGGTTAGAATCAGGAAAAGACTCTCCTATGGTTTCCAATGCACAAATTCCTTGCAAACTTTGCCAGAAAGCCCAGTAGTAATGTAGTATAAAGTGGTTACTACATGCCACAGAATCCCATGAGAGAACAACATCCATTTATTCCCCTCCTCTGTCACCAGAACAAGTACCTGTGAAGAAATTCAGTTTACAGAACATGGATATTTTTCTGTCTATGGAACATTTGGACTTTAGAGATTGCTAATTCTATCTAAGAATACAAGAAATGGTCAAAACTTGTTTCTTACAGTTTTCTTTATCTGCCAATCAAACTCTTGGCCAGTTACCATTTCCAGGGGTTTAATACAAATCTTGGCTCCTTTTCTTAGGGCACAAGTTTCCTCTACTGACACTAGGTTTTTTGCTTATTGCCTTCAATGGCATTGCTCAAATCCTTAAAAAAGGAAGGTCAGAATTAATATGAACCTGTGGGGGTGGAAATGACAACGCTGTAGTACACAGGTCGCCTCATTTACATCCTTTGAACCATATAATAAAAGTTTGTTCCTTACTGCCACAATGATAGGAGTGAAAAACGACCAGCAGAGTTTCCACCAGATGCAGGGTCTGTATCCCACCATCTCTTGGATGTTGTCATAAAATCTGTTAACACCTAAATATAAAAATAAGAAAGACTACAGAAACATATCAGGTAATTGACTCGACTGAAAGCTCAGTGGTTCTGAGACACTGTCATAAATGATGACGTACATTTGGAAGCTCTGCACAGATCCCAACTTAACTTTTCACCTATATGAAATGGGAAAAACTGTGCAAATTCAAAAATCATTTGCTCTCATTTTTCCACATTATAATTAATTAATTAGAGACTAGCAAACTTATTCCCATGAGAAGACTGAGGAAGTCTGTGCAAGAGAAGGTCAGATGCAAAAAACATCCTTGGTTAATTTCAACTCTAAGTCTTATTAGAATGAGAAATTTAGATGGTATTTTTGCAAGTTAAATTATAAAAAAACCCACCCCATCCTGGCATTAACCAGCTTCACTCCAGTGCACACCATGTACATGAGAAGTGGACATGAAACCAGAGTAGCCCTCCTGCTGCTGCTGCCCTTACCTACCAGACCTCCATCAGCCTCCCAAAGCTCTGTCTATCACACATTTCTTCATTACATAGCTGCTGTATTTTTCCATTTGACTTGCTGGATTCACTGGCAGTACCTCTCCCAGATAAAATGCTGTTCCAGCCTCTCCAGCCCATTAAAGGCCAGCAGGAAGACTCCAGTTATCTAGCTGTGAATCAGTTGTGTAACATAAACTGAAGTGCCTTGGTGATGGTGGGAGTAGTTTCTTGGCTGAGCCAACACAGCACTAAGGTCACATACACGAATACTCTGGCAAGAATGTGGCATAGATTCATTAATCTTTACAGCCAGAGTTTGCCAATCCAGGCTTCTGGATATTTGGGGCAATTATGCCCTGTCGGACCAAGGAGCTTGGCTCTCACTGCAAGATCCTGGAGTGACAGAGTCCTTTCTGGGCACAAGCCTCTACAAAGTCCCAAAACCCTAAGGCAGTATGCTGAGAACAGCAGTACCTAACACCTCTGAAGATCTAGGCTTTCCAAGGAAGTGGGATAGGAAAAGAGATGAGATATCACCTGTTTAGTATTCCTGAAACAGTTATCACCCAATGACTTCCAGGCCTACAGGTAAGGTTTTAAAGAGGCAGCAGTACCTTCCACAGGCCAACTTGGAGTCCCCAGTGGAATTACATGAACAGAAACCAAGGCCAGTTTCAGTTCCACCCTCAGCATTTGCATGTACAAACCAAGAGATCAGAAGGAGTATCTTTATGATGTGCAAAACTTATGGAAAAAATAAAACATGTTGTTTACCATAGCACCAGGATATCGAGATGCACTCAAAGAATACAAGGAACAAGAGACTCATTCCACTGGCAGAGTAGTAGTCAAAAAGCTTAAACACATAGATTCCACCCTAAAACATACAAGAAGGAAGCATTAAGTATAAAGTAAGGACTCCAATTTCAAGACAGATTAAAATGCAAGCTGCAAACTAACAGTGGCAATAGGTTAGGGACATACTAATGTAAATTAATTAAAGTGAATGGGTTACAAATCTTACTAGGCTTGAGGTCAGCACTGACAAAAACCAGACTGCTGCTAGAATTCAACCGAGTGCTTTAATTTCACTTTACTGCTTTTTGTTTAATAATTCAAACGTACCCCTCAAATACTTTGCAGTCTAGAAGCAGTATCACCCTCCCTAGCTGCCACTTTTTGGAGTGCAAGACAGACTGTGGAGATGTGCAGCAGGACACACTGCAGCCATGGACCACAGGCACTTGACACTCACATCTCTGCTACCTGAAGTCTGTGTATAGTGTGGAGGGTAGAGCCCTGCAATTCAGTGGTTTGCAGTGGCTCCTGGTTGGATTGGGGGGAGGGAAAAACAAAACAGCTGCTGCATGTCAGCCCAGAGCAGCCTCTTCCCCAGCACATACCTGAGTGATGTTGGACAGCCCTATCAGATAGGACACAATGCACACAACGGCAATGAAGATTTCTCTCCGATTGCGCAGTAACCTCGGAAATTCGTCCACCAAAGCTGTGATGAATCCTTCCACAGTGCAGAACTGCAAGTGAAGTTAGACACAAAACACAATGCAAAGCCCTGGGAGTGTTCAAAGGGGAGGAATGTTCAATTGTACCATCACTGGCCTAAGGCTCCATCCATTCAATGATAACTGAAAATTCTCTTGACTTCGGTGGAAGCAATGCTCCTGAGTATCCTTGTTTCTGTCTAAAAGGATCTGTGCAAAATGATTTCCGGCTTGAAAAACACTCAGAATTCCAAACTATGAACTACAGTCTATGCTCTGTGAACAGAGAGTGCTCCTTGTGCTAATGACAATACACCCACAGTTGGGGGCTTTGATCCCTTCATCCTACGAAAACGTACACCTCTCCTTTCTGTGATTTACTCATGCAAGAAAGCCAACAGACACAGAAAGTCTAATC